AACAGCAATACTCACCAATCTAAAACCTCAAGTTGAGCAGGCATTCCTTATAGTCATCAACACTCTTCACAATCACAGTACTCCTTCCTACAGAACTGTTAAAGCATTAAACACATTGCTAAAAGAGTACAGTACAAAGTACCACAGCTAGCCCCACTGTGGTGGCACACTGCCAGTGCCACCACACTGCTCCCTGATCCTTACCAATGGAAGCCCTATTTTATTCAGGTGGGAATGTGATAAAAGGCTGTTTTCTTAAATGTGTATCAACTAATAGAAGAAGAGTCACACATCCATCCAAGACTTTTGGGCAATATAAAAGAATGAAGTACTTACTGATCATGCTGCAACATAGAACAATCCTGAAACTCTGTACTAAGTGAAAGAAGTCAAATATGAAAGGCTATACACTACCTAATTCCACTGAAATGGAAGGTCTGGAACAGACCCCCGCCTATAGAGACATTAAGGAGAGTAGTAGTTACCTAGGGCTGAAGGAAGGAAAGGAATCAGGAGTGAGTTCCAAGTGGGGATGAGGTTTCTTTAGGGGGTAATAAAACTGAACTAGACTGTGGTTGACAATTATGCAACTGCATATGTAACAAAAAAATAATCACCGAACTATAACTCTTTAAATAGGTGACATATGAGTTATATCTCTAAAATTTTTTTGAAAATCGAACAAAATCGAATTTCCTGGGATGCCTAACAGCTAGGAGCATCCATGGGCTTCAGTTTTGGCTATTAGTATGTTGATGTACACAGAAAAGTTATGGAGCCAGGGAGATGGCTCAGCGGGGCCAGGGAGATGGCTCAGCAGGGCCAGGGAGATGGTTCAGTAGAATAATAAGTGCTTCCCTGGCAAGTGCAAGGGCCTGAGTTCAATCCCCGGTTCTGGGGGGGAAAAAAAAGATTCAGCCAACTCATGCTTTTCCAAGCTGCAGGTCCTGGGGGCCCCAAAGAACCACAGGAAGCTGAGGATAACACAGTAGCTACAGGGGAGAAGAATGGTAATGGTTGACAACGTGGAACCACTGCATCAACTCTAGGTCCTCAATCTGTTGTAGGAAGAAAACAAAGCTGCACAGCAAGCTTTCTGCATCTGTAGTTTCCACATCTGTGTATTCAACTAACCTCAGATCCAAATTACTTAGAAAAAAAATGTGTCTGTACTTAGCATACACAGATTTCTTTTGTTATTGTTCCCTAAAAATATACTGTAAGAACTAGTTACACGGCACTTATACTGTATCAGGTATTTTAGGTAACAAAATGATTTAGACATGTAAGGTATGTGTACACACTATACACAAACACTATGCCATCTGATGTGAGGAGGTTAACTGGAACACTTCCCCAGAAGCTGAGGCATGACCATTTGATTAAGAGATTATAGCTGCATCTTGGTCACTTGTAGCCAGAGGCTGCACTCAGGGATGCAAACCTATCTATTATCCATCTACCCTTTTATTGGAGCCAAAAAAGCAAAAAGAAACAAAGTAGTCTCAGAAACATGCTAAAAAGTTGAAGTGTAACCTTTGGGCATTATGAAGTTAATGTTATTTTCAAGCCATACCAGTTTTTCCAATTTGGAAATACCCTTGGAGGAATCTTTACCTGTCTAAAAACAAGTCATTACAAAGCTTTATTTTATTTTTGTTTTGTTTTTGGCAGAATCAGGGATTGAACTTAGGCCCTTGTGCTTGCCAGGGAAGTGCTTATTCTACTGAGCTATCTCCCCAGCCCCTAATGCTTTAAAGGTACTGACAAACCAATATTATGCTTTAGATCCAGAATGCCCTCATAAAAAACAGCTGATGTATTTAGAAGTGGGAGAAGACAGGATCATCACCTCACTCACCAGTGAACTGACCCACAGGTGCAACTGTGGCTCAATATGCTGTTAGGTGGTAGGGTTTGGCCGGTGAGGTGTGTCACTGAGCCTGCCTCTGGAGAGTATCCTTCTCTCCCCAGCTCCTACCTTGCCTCTCTACTCTCTAGCTATCTTTCCTCCCGTATCACTTCTGCCTTAAACACTCAACCATGTCTGAATCCCCTGAGATCATTGAGTCAAACCTTTAAGCAGTCTGGTTGGGTATTTTCTTCCAGCAATGGAAAAACTAATACACCAAGTAGGAGCAAATGGCATATTTCCTCAGAGAAATAATTCTTAACACCAATTTTTCTTAAAATAAAGTTTTAACTATACAATAAGAACATCTGATCTTGAGCCCAGATGACATCTTCCATTAAGGTTTATGTCCCATTGTCCTTAATCCTTTAAAGAACACCTTTGTCATGAAGGAAACCTAGCCTCATAAACAGTTCATTTGTGCATAAAATGTGTGCACAGTACACATATGCACGATGTCTGAAAATTATCAGTGATGTCCAATGTCATCCTGAAATAGTAAGGGCAACAATGAAGGCAGAAACAAAAAATAACAAATGCTTACATTTTTATTTTTCAGGCTCATATATTAAACCACCTCCTTTCAATTATATTAATGGAGAAGGCCTGAGAGAATACCTGAAATACAACTTCTACTAAAGTTAATGCATTTCTTGATTTGGTGTAATTATTTTCACATCTACCCCTAACAAAGTTGACTTACAGAAGTCTGAAACAGATTTATAAACAGTTAATTATCCCTGAGACCAAAGAACATATGGGCCAGATGGGGGAGGGGACAGCAGGGATGGGCAGAGGACATTTAGACCAGCTTTGAGATAGGCTACGGTTTTCCCTACCATGCTGTCCTTTCTATGTCATGCTTTAACTTACATGAAGCTTAAACTCTACACACGAGAGAATGCTTTCAAGCAACTAGAAGTCTTTGTAGAAGCCTAATTGCTCTCTTGTGTAGTTATGTTTATTCAACCATTTATTAACTAGTTAACCAAGTGTCAAGCACCATTTAATCAGTGAGACTGAATCAAGGAACTCAGTCAGGTGGTGAAGTAATTCCATTTTACCTGGGAGAGAGCAAATCTTGGGAACAAGGCTGAAAAGCAACCACTAAGCCTGGAGGAGTGACACAGAATTACCAGGTATGGGAATTCTGGGAATCCAGGAAGAGCACACACAGCCTTCCTAGAGAAGGCACCACACAGGCAAAGGAAAGACAAGGAAGCATTGCAAGGCACTCCAGCAGGGAGCTGAAAAAGACCAGGGGCGACTGTATTCAGTTCAGAACTCTATAAAGAATTTCGGAATGCGTGCTGAGGGGCGTAAGCCAGGATTGCAGCTCTGTTTTCAGAAGTGTTTCCCTGGCAACGGATGGATGAATGAAGGGCAGAGGCCAGCAAAGGAGGTACTGCTTACACTCCTCCAGCAAAAATGCACCTTTACTGCAACCAAAGGAACTGGAGCCCAGAGTGAGGGCTTTTATGCTTGTGGACCAAATGGCAAGAAAGAGAAGTACCTCATACCTCAAAGGGGTTTTTCTCCCCTACTGTTCATCCCACTGCCTGTGAACATTAGTGCTGCACCTTTCTCTATAGGCACACACTCCTCCTGTCCCCCCCGTCAAAAAAAAAAAAAAAAACCTTTGACCTCCTTTGTTTGCTGTGCCACACTTTTTGACTACGCAGACTATGATAGGGTCCCTACCTCCCCATCTTGAACCTATACATCAACTTGCTCTATCCCCTAATGTTTCTGTCAGCAAGCCGACTGCCAAATCCACAAGCCTCCTCTGTATATTTTAAGCCATTTTCTTCTCTGGACTCACATGACACCTTACTTTACTGTTTCTGCTATTGCCCTGGCCAAGTACTATGGCTTCCTTTCAGTATTTTTGTCCTCTGCTCTTCCCTCACTAGATCCCTGAACGATGGAGTACTCAGTCTAAGAACTTGCATATTCCACCAAGGCAAAGGCATCTAACACTGCTGCACTGAGGTAGTCCATACTACTCTACACTAGTAAGTTCCAGCAGCTCTTCCCTGAGTGGCAGAGGCTTATCAATCCATCCAGACTTTCCACTTAGACAATCAAATGGGATCGCAAACACTGCCGACAGCCAATGATCAATGACTCTGGGAAGGCAAAATTCTCGGCATGTACTTCAGCCATCTAAGTGGATGCTCAAGTTCCTAAACAATTAGTCACCTTGATTATCCTTTCCATCCTTATTCGATACAACCAGGACATGTCTGTTATTTTCAAAATGGGTCTCCAGCCTACCCCTACTCCTTATCACCCCCACTACCCAAAATGGTTCAAACTGCTATTTTTTCTTTCTTGGATTATTCAATGGCTTCTTAAAAGAAGTTGCTACTTCTATATCACTTTACTACAACTCAATCTTCAGTTGAGCTAGGACACTTTTTCTAATATGACAAATTGACTCAGGTCACTCCATGCTTAAAAAGACTGTATGAATTCTTATGAGAGGCCCCCAAGGCTCCCAAGGACTGGCTGTCCTTTCTCGCATCTCTCAGACTCCATCTGCTACTACTCCCTTTCCTACCTAGCCTCCTTTATCTCCTCCTAAGAGCAGCAGATGAAGAATGCCGGAGAAGGGCTTCGCCTGGAGCTTTTTTCTGCTTCAAAGTTTCTGCAATTATGTCCTTTTAGCCTGGATCTTTTCACAGGTTGGCTTTTGTCATTCAACTCTCAACTCAAATACCAAATGCTCAAAGAAGCCAGGCTAGCTTTGGCATCTAAAATTATTCTCATGCTGCTATATGAATTCTATCACAGTAGTCAGCAAAATTTTGTTTACATTCGTTATTTCACCTAATTAGAATGTGACATACTAAAAGGGAGGAATTTCACCTGACTTGCTCCCTTCAGATCCTAAGAGCTGAGCATACAGTGAATACTCAAGAAACACATAAAGAATATCTCAATCCTCCTTGTATCTAAAATTCTCTTACAGTGGGAGTACTGTAAGAAAGGAGAGAACATAATGGACATTTAGGCAACAAGATTCAGCTTATACCAATCACATAAGTGTGGTCAATTTTTTCTTTCCATTTAAAATTAATTTTCGATCCTTCGGTTCATGAGAGTGATGATTGGGTGTTCATGCCTTATGCATGAGATGTGCCACACTCAAACCTTGATACGACGTGGGCACATTACCCGTCTGATGTGAAAAGGAAAAAAAAAATAAGATAAATAAAATTTTTAAAAATTACATTTTCTACAAAATCTGCCCAGCAATATCTTGAATCTTTGACAAAACCACTGGTACGGCACAACTCACGGAACATTCGTAACTATTACCTCTTTCCTATGTCAGTGTCTCCTCTAACTCAGCAAGGAAAATCTACTAAAACAAACAAACATACATAAAATATAAGAACTTACAAACACAAAAAGGCAAGTTTAAAGGCACCACACTGCCCCAGCAGACTGAGAGTACTTCCTAACTGGGCACCAAGTCAGATGTCAGCACTTTTTATCTTTTTAACAGGGCATTTACAACAAAATTATAGAAAAAAACAAAACAGGGCATTTAACTGTTATTTCTAACAATGTGCTAGTTTAATACACCAAAGAATCAACTGAATGTTAGAAGAGATGTGAAAGCTGAATGACTCTAAGCATAATACCTACCCAGTCAGCGTGAAATAATTTTCTGTTGACTAGATGCTTCCTAAGAATGTAGGTTATAGACAAAAACATCTGTAACTTATAAATGGCTCAAAGCAGCTTTCCAGATGTGTGGCTGATTCATAAAGCTTATTTAAAAACAGCAAATGCCTTCAACTACCACACATGATTCTCTCTATATTCTCAATGGGAAGGAGAAACAGGTACATGCCTATTTCCTAGTTCCATTCCACTTTATATTAGGCCAATTATAACTGAGCATAAATACATACACAGTTCTTATTTAATGGGTCTGGAGAAACGATTCCACTGTTTTACTGGATCCTGGAAGCTGAGCAAAGTCAACTATCATAGCTTTAGGGTTCTGGAATTGAATGAAACATTCATAAAATAAAATAGGACCCTCTAGGTTTTTCATATTTAAAGGCACAACCACCAATCATGCATTATGAACAATATTTTCCATACTGTCATAATATAAAACAAATCCTTTATTTTTCAAGTTTTTAAAAAACAATTTTACACTTAAGCCACCCTTGAAGATAAGCTCAAAATTTATCAGTTCACAATTTTTTAAAAACAAACCACAACTCAAGCACCCACTCTGTGCATAGCACTTATCCTAGGTGCAATAAAAGGGAATCTTAACCTTACAAAGGAGGTTTCACTTTCTGGAATTGTATTCTGTCCTTTCCCAGATAGTAAAAATAAATAAAATTGTCATTACTTCTCACTAATCTGCCCCAAACCCACCTCTGGCTCACAGGAAAGTTGATTTCTAAAAAATTTAAGATGTAAGGAATTCAGCTCCTGTTTCCCCCAAAATAAGAAAGCAGATTTTCCTTCACATTAAAAAAATATTATTATCATTATTATTATTATTTTATGAAAGGGTAGTTTGTTTCTAGTAAGTATTTTTTAAATTTCTTTTTTTTCCTCTTTAGCTTTTCTTTCTCTCCCTCCAGTATTGCCTTTTCTAAGTACAAGGTAAATCAGATACCTTTTTATGCTGCTTTCTCTTTCCTAAGTACTGTATCTTGAACACAAACCATTCCTAAGAGTAGTGATAAAAAATATTAAAACAACTTTAAAGGTAAATCACCTACATTATCTGGATGAAGTAAAAACATAAAAAGCAGTTGGCACTAAGACAGCTATTCCAAATACCTGTGTCTAAACAATTTTAAAAACTGTTTATTAAGAATGCACCCTTAGTCCAAAGTAACTATGTTTTTAAAAAATTTTGCCCCCCAAAATTTACAAAATCCCTTTCAATTCAACTTAATAAAAGTGATACCTAAAACATATTCCAGATCATTATATCTGTCTTTTAAAAAGTTCAGCTTCTGAAAGCATTTCTAAGGCCTGGTGCTCTGGAAGAAAATGTGCTTCTGCTGGCACTGCATTACACAGGAGACAGCCACAGCAGCAACTGTCCTCTGGGGCTGCGGAGCCGAGAGGAGTCAGACGTAGGCTCCCAGGGCGGCATGGAACTCTGTGAGACACTGGACCAGCTGCTGAAACTTGGGCCTCTCCTCTGGATCTAAGGCCCAGCAACAGGCCATCACAGCAAATCTGTAGGAACAATGGAAAATGTCACTACTGAAAACAGCACTCCTCATCTTTTGATTAATTTGACAGCAGTTGTTTTCTGTTTAAATGCAAATATGAAAAAAAATAAATGCAAATACGCAAAATATACTAAAAGTGATTACTATGTATTGGCGACTCTAAAATGAAAAGATAAAATTAGGTATTTGAATTATATAGGTCCTCATGAGAGGATACCAAAATATTTCAACCAATACTAAGTTAATGAAAAAACATAAAATATAGTCAAATAATGGTAAGTTCTGATAGGAAGAACTTAAGAGAAAGTTGTACCTAAGCTCTAGAAGCCCTGGATCTACATCGAACCTTGGTCTTCCACAGCAACCTTCAGGGCATTCTGAAGACTACTCATCTGTACACCCACTTACTCTTACCAGCCTCCTGCCCACCCCAGTTCCACCATATGGAAGCTTAGCTACAGGAAGAAAGCAGAAGACAGGAAGCAACTGTGCCTCTCAACAGCACGAGCATCTTCCTTGTGTCAATGGATACTGGCACGTCAAGGTGACCCTGACAAAGGTCTTTATAAAGATTGTGCCTCTCTGTGTAAACAAGTCACATAATAGTGCTCAGTTTGCTCACTGTGCACGTTAGTCTCCCAGACTAACTTATAGTGCTTACATTACATATTATAAATATGTCAAGTGTGGAAAAGAGTGAATAAATCTGATTTTGTGATTCTCTACTAAAGTCTAGTTTAAGCCTGAGGAGCTACTCTTCTCAAAAGGGATCTCTGTATGACTATGGAAATCTCTTCTTTTATAACAATATACTAAATGAAATGAGATTCATGTGTCCACACTCCAAAAAACTCACAATTCATCAGGACAGTTGATTGGCTGTGCTATCCGGTAACCATCTTTCAGGTATGCGGCCATCTCAAAGGGGTCAATGTCCACGTAGGGCGTCTGGCCCAGAGTCATAAGCTCCCACAGTGTCACTCCAAAGGCCCACTAGGAAAGGAGTAGAAACAGATGAAGGTCATTTACAACTATTATTTGGATGCTGCAGCCTTCAGTCAGCTAACAGTTAAAAAACAAAACAAACAAACAAAAAAAACCACAGCAGTTCAACTAACTCTTCAGGAAAGCAAAATAGTATTTATAAAAAGTAAGCTCGTTCTCTTGCTGGGAAAGAAAACAGGGTATTACAATGAATGTATCCTTTAATGTAAATGTATTATATACTGTAAGTATATTTATCAGAGAAAAATTTTTATTGATTATGAGATATAAATCCCAGACCAGATACGAAATATATCTAAGATTTTGCTAATATAAAAATTTATAACTTTAGGGCCGGCCAAATAGCTCAGCAGATTAAAGCACCTGCTTAGGCAGATGCAGTGGCCGTGGTTTGATCCCTGGGCCTGCCATTCCGGCCCTGCCTGCGGGGTGCACTGAGAAGGCAATTGAGACTAGGCATGGTGGTGAGCGCCTGTAATCCCAGCACTTGGGAGGCTGTAAACACAGGAGGATCACTACAACTCCGATCTATATAGCGAGACTCTGTAGACCCTGTACTTAAATACACACACACACACACACACACACACACACACACACACACATTTATAACTTTAAAAACTATGGGTTGTCAGAGCCAGCCAGATAGCTCTGCATATTAAAGTGCCTGTTTTGGCAGAGACAGGGGCCGGGGGTTGGATCCCAGCCTGCTATGCCAGTCTCACTCGTAGGGGGGATCACTGAGATGGAGATTGAGACTGGACGTGGTGGCACATTCCTATAATCCCAGCACTTGGAAGACCAAAAACAGGAGAATCACTAGGAGTCTGATCTACACAGTGAGTTCCTGGAAACCCTGTAGATCTCATACTAAACACATTAAGAAAAAAATTATGGGTTGTCTATATGACTGAGAAACAGAAAATGAATGACTTCAGCCAAAATAGAAACAAAAATATCCTGAGAAAAATATACAAAATTATGAAAAATACATAGATATTTAAATGAATATTTGAATTAGGGAAAAGGTGATGCCCAGGGATCCACATCTTCATATGTGCAAAGCACTTGCTCTACCACTGAACTCCATCTACCCCTGTACTTAAAAGTGTTAATTAACCTACAAAAATATACTAAAATTTATCTTGCAACCTTCAAGTAAAAAATCAGCTTATTTAAAATCAGCATATGAACTATCACTAGGAGCAAGCACTGTGACAGTAGCAATAGTACCTATTTATGGAATGATCGGGGCTCCCCAATTTGGCATAGCCCTGGCCACACCACCCACTGCCCTGGATATGGCATGGAGGATGGGCAACATGTCCACACAGTCACTATACTATGTGAACTCCAAGGTCACAAGCTGGGCAAGGAAGAAGATAAATGTGAGTCACTGTATATTTATAAGTTTCTACAAGTTCTAGGGATACTTAAAGACTTTATCACATCAAAATTTCACAATGCACCCTGAAAATAATTCACTGGTAGATCAATTTTACAAGGTGAGGAAACAGGTTCGGATTAGTGGCATGTCCAAGACTGCATTTTTTAATGAACAAAAGAAAAAGTAAAAAAAAATATATATATATATAGATAGATAGATAGATAGATCGATATAATAAATATATTGTTTACAAATGCTAAGCACACTACATTAAATTGTTTCTTAACAATAGTAACAAAATCTTGAAGCATTCTGTAAAATGCACATTTGTACAGATGCCTTATCCAGGTTGAGCATACGTAGTCCAAATCCACAATCTGAAATGCTCCAAACACCAACCATCTCTGAGTGAAAAATTCTACATCACGAATCTGTTTCACACATTTGTTAAATATACTGTATCAAATTAACACCAGGCTACGTACATAAGGTGTACATGAAACAGTATGGGCCCCATCCCAAAATATTTCAATATGTAAGTGCAAATAATTCAAAATCAGAAAAAAAAAAAAAATCAAAGCACTTCTAGTCCCAAGATAGAACACTCAACCTGTACTAGCAAACAATAGCCACATTTCTTACTAGAAACTATGCAATAAGAAAATAATGGGCTAATTCAAAATGTTTTTGAACTGTAAATTGAGAAATTAAATGCAGCCAAAATATACTTGAAAACTGAAGATAAAACACTTTTAACAAACAAAAGTAGACCTGCACTGTAAGACCCAAAAGCATTCACATGGAAAAAAAAAAAAAAAAAACACACAAAACAGACAAAAACATGGATCTACACAAAAACTGAAGCATGCTGGAACACGTGGGAACTGTAAAAGCATTTCCCCCCTCAATTTAAAAATTCATTCAAAAGGGACTAAAGAAAAAACAGCTAACCGTGTATTGTGAGATTTATAAGAAAATATATGTCTACAATTGAATAAAGGGTGGGATGGAATGAACAGAACTGTGTTATAAGGTGCTTACATTAAAATGAAGTGATAGACTATTTTGAAAACAAAAAGCCTGTGTTGTAAACCTACACTAATTTTCTTAACTTTAACACTTCTATCATGGGCTGGAGAGATGGCTCAGTGGTCTAAAGCACCTACTTAGAACAAGCTTGGCAAGGCATCAGGGACCGCGGTTCAATCCCCCAGCACCACATGCCAGCCGGCCCCGCCCCCTGGTGGGCTGAGCTGGCCACACACACACACACACACACACACCTCTCTCTCTCTCTCTCTCAAATAAATAAAAATAAAAAAAAAAAAAACACTTCTATCATTACTGTACAGGGTCTGTTCCATGTACTACAGAATATTCAGCAGCATCTCTGGGTTCCACCCAACAGATGCCACTCACATATTATCCAATTTGTGCCAACCAAAACCTGGTAGTGTCCCCCGCTTGGGGTGGAGGGCAAAACTGCCCCAGGTGAGAATCACTGAGTTAGAGGGAACAAAGAAAATAAAATTAACATCAGGAATAAAGATGAGCATTTCAGATTCTACAGACACACTGAAATATTTTGAAAAATTCAATATTGTACCAATAAATTCAATAATTTAGATGAAGCAAGCTTTTTATATACAAATTACCACAACATATAAGAGCAAATAATCTATGTATCCCTATATTTATTAAATAATTTACAATTATAAAATGTTCCACAAAGAAAACTCCACATCTTATTTCACTGATGAATTCTATTAAATTTTAAAGAAAATAGAAATCAGTACTGGTTTAAGGTTATCATAATAAAATATCACAAACCAACGACTCAAACAACAGAAATCTGTCTTATATTTTAGAGACTGGAAATTCAAAATTAAGATGTTGGCAGGGCCCTGACATCTGTATCCTGCAGAGAGCCGCTAGCTGGCTTCCTCACCTGTCCTAAGTTCAGAAGCCCTGGTGTTCCTTGGGTGGCGACTCAGCACTTCAGCCAGTGTCTCCTGTCTGCACACAACTCTCCCCTCATGTGTTAGTGTTTTGCTCCTCTTTTTTAACCGTCGTGCTGGATTGGAGCCCACCCTATTTGACTACGACCTCACCTGCACACTAGACCTGTTGGCATCCTATTTCTAATAGGGCCCGTAGTCTAAGATTCTGGAGATCAAGATTTGTGGGCACTGAGGGGTGATTCAGCTTCCACAGTGAGCTATACAATCCTATAAAGACTATTCCAGAAAAGAGGGAATACTTTCTGATCATTTTAAGAGTAGCATTACTGAAAATACCAAAGCCAAACCAAAGTGTAAATACCAAGCAAGACCAACCCTGTAGAATCTAATACTCTTTTATTAGGTGATTACTGAATGGAGTGCCCAGACTGTAGATCTATGTTTTGGGACAGGCATAAAGAGTTAAGGAGATATGTGTATAGCTTTAAAATCCTCACAAATTGGAGTATACTATAATTTCCCTTATGTCTGAGATAATCTATTCTGTTAAAAATGTAAAAATGGTTTCAAATTATAAAAGTTATAGAGCAGAGCCTGTTCATGTCCAGGTATTTTCTTATCTTAAAATCATACTCTATATGAAATCTTAATACTGACAGTAATTAGTAAACAACAATTATAACAATATTTAGTGTGTAATTTCCAAAAAGAAGTCAACTCATGACACCATATAAATGGAACAGCCTGAGGAAGTGAAACTGGTTAGAAGGGTGTTTCTATCTCTTCCTTTTCAGATAAAAGTGGGCTTGTTCTTACTTTTGTGACATTTATTTGGACAAGAATAATCAATTGTTTTTGTTTTTGTTTTCCTGTATTTAGGACTGGGTTTACAGGGTCTAATTACTGAGATGAGACTCATAGTGATTCTGTTTTCAGCTTCCCAAGTGCTGGGATTATAGGTGAGCACCACCACGCCCAGTCTCAATGGCCTTCTCAGTATACCCGAGGGGGCATGAGCGGGTCCTGCACTGCACCTGGGGGATCAAACCCCTGCCCCTGCACTCTGCCTAAGCATGCACTTCAGTTTGCTGAGCTATCAGGCAGGCACTTAATAATCAATTCTATCCAGATTTTAGAAGGAAAAAAAAATGAGAAACTATGGCAAATAAATACTGTCACTCTATGCATAGAGTAATCCCAGGTAACATTAAAAATCTTGTATGTGTAAGCTGCATTTAAAAACTGCTTCTTTCATTGTTTTGACCAAAGTCTTATCACTATGCAGTCACCTAAGGTTCTCATATTACATACTGTAATATTTTAAAAAACACCATAAAAAAGAACAATCAAGCCAGAGGGTAAACTACAGTTTCATTTCCTTAAAAACCAACAGAAGTGATTAATTACATGTTGGCTAACTAACCCTTTAAAAAAAAAAATCAAAACCAAATGACACAGGATGATTTGTGGAGAACTTGTTCTTTAAAGTTCTCTGATACTTAAACCATTTAAAATCTAGACAGACTTATTCTATGATTTCCTTCTATTTGAAGTAGCTGGAAAGGTCAAGCTGCTTTTTCCAGTTTTATGAAAATGTACGCCTTGTCCATTTAAAGAACATTTAGAAAACAGTAATGTTC